GAACTGGATGAGTCACCTTCTATGAATCTGTCTCTTATACACATCTAGATGTGTATAAGAGACAGGGTTAGTACAGCCATATAAACGCTTCCTCAAATGTTTACCTGCTGTACGTATGGCTAGCTAGGGCAGGCCTAGCCTGGCGAGGAATACACCTAGGGCTAGGGCCTACCTAGGCTACACTAGGCGGTGAATCTTTTCGGTATTTACATATATATTGGCATGGCCTGACGGAGACGCTGGTGGAGCACACCACTAGTTAGGCAAAAGTTTTGCCAAGTAATAATAGGTAGCTAGAAACAAAAAAAAATTGAAATGTCCCAAATACGTAACTGAGAATAAAGCATTTTAAAACAAAAATTATGTAAATCGGACCAATATTAGCGGAGATATTGCTAATTTTAAATATGTTTTTTGCTGGAGTTAATTCCTATTGTTTTTATTATACAAGAAGTGTGTCCCTTACAGTATTATTATTTATGACTATCCTAGGTATGTAGCATTTTAGGCCATGACCATGTTAAAATAATACTTGACAATTACTAATGATTATAATTTAGTATCTTCTTAGTATATATATATTTATATTAGATTTATTAATTTTTATCAACTTATAGATTCTACGTATAATAATTATATTGAATCGCAAAACTCTAGGCCTAATTTGCAGGACTCGGACAACACGATGGCCAGCGGGGAAAACATCGTTGACCCCGCGTGTAGCTGCCGCAAATTAACGAGGGCGCCCTCTATTCGTACGAGCCAAGCCTAGCTGCAGTACGTGATAAGACAATAGAATTTTATGCCATCTATTTCAATTAATATGCTCACAAATATTATTTAAAACTTACTTATCTTTATAGTTTAAAAACTGAAGAAAACAAACATGTTAACAAAAAAACTAGCGAAGGTTTCTTTTTATTATTGAAAATCGACGAAACATTGGTTGTACTAAAAAAACTTCTACTAAATCGATTCGCGCGCTTAAAAGGCCAATAACTTGGTCCAGAAATCATTTCTGGAGTGTTATCTGGAAGTAATTCGGTCAAATTGTTGTATACTTCCGCGAAATACCTAATTAATACATTGGATATCCTATCTCCATTGGGGCACTATTTTCTATCACCGATCTATAGCGCCCTCTATCGGTTTTGTATCTAGCTATAATAGGCCTAGGATAAATGCACTACCCTAGGAAACATACCAGGTTTTGTATGCACTTTGAGGTGCAGAGAATTTGACTTCAGAAATTGGTTGAGGATGAGGGTGGTCCAAGAATCATTTTTCTAACATAATTAGATAAGTAAATTGGTCAAAAAAAGGTCAGGGGCAAAGGTCAAAGCTATAAGGTCCTTGTATCTCTGCAACCACATGTGGTAGAGAATTGAATTTGGTGCCAAATTGTTTGGATCATGCATCTATTTGCTCTAATAGAACATTTTGCTAAAAAAAGACCGGAAATGCCATTTCTGACCTTTGACATGCTTCAAGGTCATAGCCAAATTGTCCTTATATTTCCGTAACCACTGGCAGTAGAGAGTTAATTTTGGTGTCAATTTTTTCGGAACATTCATGTTTCTACAGTATTTCGTCTAATAAAATAGTTTGTTAAAAAATGACCTGGATATGCCATTTCTGACCTTTGACATATTTTATATAGCCATTTTGAGTTGTGATTATCTCCGCAACCACTGGTGGTAGAGAGTTAATTTTTGTGCCAATTTATTTGGAACATTCATGTTTCTATTTAGTCTAATAAATGAGTTTGCTAAAAAATGACAGGAAATGCCATTTCTGACCTTTGACATATTTTATATATGATATCCATTGAGTCATTATTATCTCCGCAACCACTGGTGGTAGAGAGTTAATTTTGGTGCCAATTTGTTTAAAACCTCCATGTTTCTATTTCTTCTAATATAATTTTTTTTTTTCTACAAATGAACGGAAATGCCGTTTCTAACCTTTGACATGTTTCAATGTCATAGCCTTAGTCCTTATGTCCGCAAGCACTGGTGGTGTCAATTTAATCGAACATTCATGTTTCTATTTGGTCCAATGGAACAGTTTGCTAAAAAAAATGGCTGGAAATGATGTTTTTGACCTTTGACATGCCAACATACTGTACAGTATATTATTATTATTACATGTGTTTCTGTTTAATTTATTAGACCATTTGTTAAAAAAAGTAATATGTATGGGGCTGAGGTGGTATAGACCCTACATCAATTATATATGATATCCATTGAGTCATTATTATCTCCGCAACCACTGGTGGTAGAGAGTTAATTTTGGTGCCAATTTGTTTAAAACCTCCATGTTTCTATTTCTTCTAATATAATTTTTTTTTTTCTACAAATGAACGGAAATGCCGTTTCTAACCTTTGACATGTTTCAATGTCATAGCCTTAGTCCTTATGTCCGCAAGCACTGGTGGTGTCAATTTAATCGAACATTCATGTTTCTATTTGGTCCAATGGAACAGTTTGCTAAAAAAAATGGCTGGAAATGATGTTTTTGACCTTTGACATGCCAACATACTGTACAGTATATTATTATTATTAAGGCATATGCTTATCTCTTTACATACTTGCTGTAAAGACTTAATATTGATCTGAAATTATTCATTTACATGTGTTTCTGTTTAATTTATTAGACCATTTGTTAAAAAAAGTAATATGTATGGGGCTGAGGTGGTATAGACCCTACATCAATGAAAGTCCCTCCCTGAGCCCTCTATTTCAAATTCCTGGATCTGCTGCTATTACCTTTCTTATTCTTCGTTATATTTTCTAATTGCACAAGTGTGATAAATTAATTTTTGCTGAGGGCTTGATTTTTTACAGTACCTTCCCTTGCATTATTTTGCTATGAGTAATCTAATTCAAAGCATGCATCATCATCATGAATATTCATTTAATTGCTTTTTCACGTGTTCTAAAACCAAAAATAAGTGAATTTTTTCAGTAAAAATTTTATTAATTTCAACTAGCAACTGATGGACTCTGTGTCTGTGCTAGCTCCCCATCTGCCTTAAATGTATTTAAATATTTTTGTGTGATTGCAATTTTATGTAAGGCATTAAATTTGAATAAAGAAAGAAAGAGAAATAGCAAGCACAAGTAAAACTTTGCATTTGCTGATCACCTCCCAGTAAAAGTTTTATTAATGCTGATTTTCTAACTTTTTGATTTCATTTTTTTCCAGGAGATGATGTTGTCCATGTGATGACAGACTTCCTAGCCCCTGCTGATGATGACTTTGCTGATGAGATGGATGCAAGTACCACCTCAGCAGGTGATAAGAAAGGTAATCATTCCTTTTGTAATTATATGAGGCTTGCCTTCCCAAAAACCAGCTGACTGTCACTAAAAATGTTAAGCTGAATAATTTTCATGACAGTAAGAATGTGGCAGTGTTATATACAGTAGTACAGAGAAGCTGTAACACTTTTTTACTCATAAATTTGGAAATAGTTACAGTACATAAAAATGTTGAGAAAAATCTGAATATATTAAAAGTCAATGCTTTTGCCACTGATGCTAGTTTTGGCATTGCATGCAAGCCCCCTGCATTCATCTTTTGTTTTCATCATACAGTAGGTTTGCATAATAACAGTTTGTTGTGATCATCCTTTAGTAATATCAATTACTATACTTGGCAAATACAACAGTGCAACTTTAGGGTTTTTGTCAACCCTTATTGAGTGCTACATTACTGATATCACAATGCCATCTGACATCCTTTTGGGTACTAAGCAGTGATTCTTCTAATCCAAGCTTTTTCAACTGATGTATAATATTGTCTGTATTTATGTGTATTTTTTTAACAATTTTAAATTTCATTGTACAGTAAAAACAATTGTTTGTATCTGATAGTTATCATATTAAGTTTTAATCAAAAATATTAGTACTCTAAGTATTAGGCTGAGTCTGATACAGCAGTTGAAAGTGCTGTGACAACTTCTTCTTTTTTTTTTTTAAGTTTAGCTGTTGACATTTCTAAGAGGAAATTTAAGACTTTGCTGTCCGAGTGCCTTTGAACATATGTTTTATGGTTTCTGGTGCTATATGAATTAAATGATTGATTGATTGATTAAGCACTGAGTTACATCAACTGCTTAGTAGGTACATTAGTAGTTGGATATCTCATCTGTTTAGTTAATAACTTAGTGGTTAAGATGCTTGCCTATAATCACTGTGACAGCAAGGATTTTTCTCGTCTAAAAACAACCCAATCTCTAAGCCTCATAAAGAAACTTCCGCTGATAAAAGTATCATGTTATTTAATTTATTCTAGAGGGCCTCTGAATATCAGTCGACTTCCTAAGATACAGTATTGTACGCTGGAACTGGATGAGTCATCTTCTATGAATATGGTTTTTAAAAAAAGTGAAAGAACTACATTTAAATACCGAATAAGAACTTTTTTTTTTTTTTTTATACATTATTTTGTAGTTGCTGTAGTTAAGAAACCATTGAAACCCAAGACCAAGCCTGCTAAAGCAAGTAGTAAAAGCAGCAAGCCTGCCAAGTCATCCACTCCAAATACTATGGAGACAAGCTCACCAAAAACATCAACTGATTCCAAACCTGACACAAAAACTAATGGTAGGTCTTTTAAATTACACTTTTTTAGTTGCAAAATTACTAAACATTCATTTTATTGCTTACTCTTTTGAAGGGAGGGAGGAGTTGTTCTGTAGTTAAGTTTTTTTCCCCTGAAAAGTCGCACCTCCTTACTTGAGGTAGCACGCCAACTTAGCAGTGCACGGTAGGGGAACCATAGGCTTATCCTTGGTGGAAGCTACCGGAGCCCAGCAAACTGACACCGATGTACCTGCGTGTACACGGTAGTGATGGCAACTCTACCTCAAAATCAGGGGTGCGCAATTTTCCTCCTTTGCTTTCTTTTGCCTTTGTTTCTTGTGGCTTCAAAAGCACCTTGAGATGGTTTTCTGTGGAAGGCGCTATATAAATATACGACCATTAACCATTGAGTAGAAGGGAGGCACAGAAAAGAATGTGCATGGTACGGTACTCCCTCAAACTGTTGAAAATATGTATGATTTCCTTGACTGAAACGTTACATACTTGTTTTTAATTTCTAGCGAATGGAAAAGTAGGTGCAAGCACAAAAAAGAAAACCGTCAAAAAGAAAGCACCTTCAGATGCTACAAAGAGCGAGGGTTCGCCAGCAAAGAAACGGAGGGAGGTGAAGCCGGAGACACCTGCCCAGGAGAATGCATCGGAAAAGGACAAAAATGAACTGACAGAAAAGAAAGAAAAGTTCAAATCACCTAAAAAGAAATCTAGTACATCTAGAAAGTACAGAAGTGATGAAGCTGCAAAGGTTTGTTTTTTTTAAAATATATTTGTAACATAAAAATAAACCAGAGGAATTTGGTAGTAAGATTTATTTCTTTCTATTTTTGTGCAGTGGCCATTGTTACACAAGTCTTATACCATGATTCTAATTAACTACAATTTATTTTCTTTTTAGCAGTTGCTATTGTTACACCAGTTTAATTCTGATTAGCTTTTGCCCTACTACAATCCATACAATATACAATTGTACAATATCCAATCAGAATTAGGAATAGGTTAAAGAGTAATGTAACAATGGCCACTGACTTTCATTTAATGATTTGTCTTTCGCAAGGATGAATTTAATTGAATTTGTTTGGTGTGAAACATGCCAGGGTAGTCTACGAAAGTTTGAAGACTTGCTTTATATATGAAGACAGCCCCTAATATATTTTTGATACAGTAGTTTACATTAGGCATGAGGGAATTTCATAGATTTTCACTTGTCGCCGGACAAGTACCTTTGAAAAATGCACTTGTCCTGAAGACAATTGTACTTGTCCCAATATTATTGCACAATAATCATAAAAAATAACACAAAAGTAAAGTATTTTTGCTAAGGTCCTACAACATTAATATGCATACTGCAATGATCACGCAAAAATGTTTTTCTGTCTTTTTTTAATTTGCAAGAATTTCAATAATGTATAATATGGAGAATTTTAATAAAAAAAAAAACATTATTAATAATATTCTATGTATGTAGGAGTGTGTGGATCGCTTTCTTATAGCGTGTTTAAAATTCGTCATCACGACAACTGCAAGTAAACATTTCTCAGGCATGGTTGATTCCCACAATACACGAGTTCTCAGCCAAAGGCTGAGAGGACTGTGTTTTATGATGGTATTTGGAGAAAGGGGAGAGGGTGGCCATATCGTATGTTTGTACCCGTTTGCAGGTTTCAATCAATTCTAATACTAACTTCAAAATGTTTTTTTTTTTTTTTTTGCGGAGGATACAAACAAATTCAAATTGCACAGGAAAACATCTAGAAAAATGAATGCGCAGAATCGTAAATATTGTGTTCGTATGAAGGCCTCAATTTTCTGCAAAATATCTGTCAAAATTGGCTCATTTTCAAAATACGGCGACAGATTTCTGGGCCTAATATTTTTGTTGAGACGGGAAAATGATTCATTTATAAGCCCTAACCCCTCAATTTTTAACACCAGTTTTACAAGATTTGGATTTTATATGCACAGTGTCTCCATCACTTAAAAGTGAATGATTTCTTAATTACTTTAACAACTTTAAATCCCAATTTAACTACCCTTTCTTAGTTTGTCTAGGTTGCCTTCCCCACATGTGCAAACGAAATAGACTAGGCCTCTATTGAAGTCGGCCTAATGGCTGCTGTTCTTATTCGTACGCGAAAGTAATTACTAGTCTTGAAGTCCAGACATTTCATGTTGTCCAACTCAACTAATCAACTAATGGCTCTGCGCCCAAAGTCTTTAAATATGTCTGGTATTTATAGACTAGACCAGTGCGAATTTATATTGTAAACAGACCACATGCAGCAGGCCCAGACGACTGACGTTTAACAGGTATGATATCGTGCGAAATTGTGTGCCTACTGTAGGTCTTGTGACAGATCTGCCTAACATTTAACAATTAAGAATTCATTTACAATCTTTACTGCAGAAAACAACAAATTTTATATTGAGATAGGCCTACATTTTTACTTTTAAACTGTCCATAAATCACGGGAGTGTTGGTAACTCGAAGTTGATGCACGCAGTGCGGCAAGTAACCATGGCCTAGTCGGTTTTTTGTTTGATATCTCTTTGTGCGCCGGCAATTTGTTAATAAAATATGCTGCGTATTGTCAAGAGGCTGACTTTTTATAAGTACATGATGAAGTAGCCTATTCTGAAAGTGCTTGTCCACAGACAAGTGGTCCCTAAAATTCCTGTTGTCCGACCGTAAAAAAACACTTGTCCCGGGCGTCGGGCAAGTGGGTTCGCTCATGCCTGTACATCCATGGGTCATATTGAACACAGAACCAAGCAGCGGATTAAACATCTTCTAAAATTGTATAAGCGTCGCTGCGTGGTGCTTTCCATGTGCGTTCCCATGTTACCTACCTCACGTATTCCAGTAGTTCAGTAGGCCTATCATACATCCTACTTCATTGTAAATAAACATTTTAAAGAAATGCTTATGTCTTCATTGTGTTATTTATTCATTTTAACACTGTATACCTTGTATTTAAAACTGTTTCATTACACACAGGACAATATCGATTAAGCACTGCAGCACATATGCAAGAGCAGTGCTTAACAAAAAAAATCAGGTTTGGTGTGGTGCTTATTCGAGAGCGGCAGTTATTCCAGAATGGCAGTTACTTGAGCTGTCACGGTTTACTGTATGCTGCGCTTCAGTAATGTAGACAAGCTATGCGCATTATGAGTTACGATGAAACATTGATAGATAAGTCAAATGTTGAAATAATTACCTTAATACCAATAAGTGCGATAAGTTTACCGCTGTACATTAAGGTTATCTACATTACTGTTTATTATGCATCATAATTTGAAAAAAGTATGTTTAAAGGATTTGAATATTTTTTCATTTCATGTATCATCTACTTTTTGATGTGACAGAGAAAAAAGATACTAGATCAGAAGGTAATGACATCATTTTGTGGGTCGATGTAACTTATTATCATGGGTTTGCTCAGGTGATTTACTGGAGCCAGGAGTACAGTACTCTTAAATCCAAATCCAAACTTGCTGATTCTGATGTTTTGAATCTTGGTTTTGAGATCAAACGTTACTAGTTCTCCCAGAATTTTCGAAACGACTTCAAATGCATAATGGTCTGTCAAGTTGCTTCGTCATTGGATGTACAGTAGATGGGCCACAATATAGCATAGGTACATATAATTATTAAACCTATGAGGCTGGTCGCTTGTTCCTATTCTTGGGCAAGACACAATCTTTTGCCCCCACCAAGAGTGTAATTGTGCACCAGTTGTAGAGAGAGTTATAAAAAGTGCTTTTTTGCTAAGTTCAATACCACTAAAATATGGATAACATTTTACAGTATGCTAAAGGCATATTTTCAGGACAATTTTCATAGTCGAAGAGACAAAAATTATTTTTCTAGGCCTTCTAGTTTGTTAAATGTGCTCATTTTTGTAACCTAGTCAGATGTCAACCACTGTGGCAAAAATGGGTTTTGTGTAAATTGAATAATTGACTTAAGATCATAATTACTCAAAGCTATGCATAAACTGTGGAGTGTAAAAACAGCCTTACTGGAGATTAATGACTCGGTTTTTCATTGGGTTTTTTGTAATAGAGTTTTTATCAGTTATCTGTAACATTTTGAGAAAATGTTTTATTTGTATTTCATCTAGGAAGTAGAGGTTACCAATGTTGATCTGAATGAGCATGGAGCAGGTAAATATTAATCTAAAGCTACAAATATCTATTTGTTCCATAATAGAAGAATATATGTGTATATATGTGAAGGAACAAGTCATTTGATTATTGAGCATTTTTCGATCTGGTTAAAGTTTATAATTAAAGCTTGTAAACCAGCATTTTAGAACATAAAGTACAGTATTTGGGCTCCTCAAAACAAAGACTGACATTAGGTGTTTGAGTTTTTGTGTTGTTTGAGAAACTCGAGTATATTTTTTTTAGTCTTCTATACATTTATTAATTTTCATCCTATAGATGGTGATGATGAGCAAGAGGAGGGACAACATGAAGAGGATTTTGAAGAGCTAACCTATGAAGACAGTGATGAGAGAGAGGTCCGAACATCCAAAGAAGAAACACCAGGCACCGGGGACATGGAAGGATTTGACACTCGTAGTGAGGCCAGCTCTAGTGATAATAGTGGCTCACTAGAAAGCGATGGATCATCAAGTCATCACGGTGGCTCCCGGCGCAAACGCATCTCTCCTATTGTTTACGAGAACGATCGACGGAATAAGAATCTAGAAGGTAGTTCTTTAATAAGTTACTGTAGCAATTTCAAAAAAATAATATTTTAATATTACTAAACTATTGCATTTATTTGGAGGAATTAAGGATTCCATTATTGTGTAGATTATATAGAAGTGGTTTGGCACAGCGGGAACAGTTTGGATTCTCAAAATTAGGGTTTCAATCCCTCACTCTGCTCTCTCTCCACCCAGGATTATAAATGAGTACATGGTGGGGTTGCCTGTTTCTGCGCTCTGTACAGCAGCAACACTTAAGCAAATGGACCCATTGGGACAGAAGCGCTCCGTATTTGAAAAGAAATGCGCTATATAAATATGAAATAACAAATATAAAAAAAATATTTGCCTAGTAGTAAGTAAATTCATGCACAAAATAAAGTTGTGGATGTTGTTATCTAAGCAGGTGGAGTAGAGTCCAGACAAGTTAACTAAACAAAACCTGGCCATGACTCACCAGTTTTGACTTAAAATAGCCCAGGGCTTCAATTTGAGGTTTTACGGCTGTCACTGAGCTAATAAAAACTTACACTAGTTTAAACTTTAATTTTAATTTTGAATGGTAAGTTTGTCTTGTTGAGTTATTTAAAAAAATGTTAACTTTATTTTTTCTCCTGCATTTCCACATTAGATCAACAATCCAAGTTGAAGTATCTGTTTCGTGGTGCTCGCTATTTTCTCATAAAAAGTAACAATCATGAAAATGTTGCTCTAGCTAAGGCAAAGGTAATTGCAGTCCTGATAGATTTTAAAATAATTTTTTCAATATTGTACAATAACAGTGAAATTGATGGTGTGCATTTCAATACTTGGAGTATGTATTATACTTTCTTAACTGAGATTAATCGGTGGACCTTTCAATTTTTTCAGTGCAAAATAGTAAACCAAATGTCACTACAAGACCAATTATGAAAGTGAATCACCCACTAAAATTGTTTTAATCAGTGTTCCTAAACTAAACCTAAAAAATACATTCAGATTTGTCAGTTTAATAATAATAATAAAGTTAGTCTTATAGAGCGCTTAATGCAAAACAATGCTTCTCGCTTTCCACATAAAAGAACTTGAAAAAAAAGAATGACGCCATAAAACATCCTAACAGTAACCAAAAAAGAAAATAAACGCAGAGGAACCCTTTTCACTGCTCAGTTCTAAAGCACTTTGAAGCTCCCATAATTGAGAGCTCACTGGAACAGAACTCACAAGAGCTCGAGTGAAAGTGGCATTTGACTGTCCTATCCTACCAACAAAAAAAAAAAGTAGAGTGAATTTTGAGGAAAAATATAACAATCAGATCCAATCAGTTTTTGAGTTTAAGCAAGAGGAGCAAAGTAAGTCCTAAAAAGATGATGCTTTAGACATTTTTAGAAAATGTCAATTGACTCCGTGTCTACCTTTAATAGCTTGTGGAAAATCATTCCAAAGACAAGCAGCAGAAAAGATGCATGATCTATTGCCATAGAAAATAGTAGCCGGTTTTGAGACGTTAAGTTTGACACTCCAGAAAGATTCTTTAAAAACCTAATTGAGATGAAGGCATCTAAATGTGTTGTTTTTTTTTTTGTTTTATTTTTTTCAATATTGTTTTTAATCACTATTGTTATTAGGGTGTCTGGGCAACACCACCAATCAATGAAACCAAGCTGGGTGATGCTTTCATGTCCTGTCGTCACGTCGTGTTGATATTCTCGGTGAAAGAGAGCGGTAAATTTCAAGGCTACGCACGTATGAGAACACCTCCAATACGGGACGGACCAATCGTAAACTGGGTTCTGCCTACGGGACTCAGCCGAGCTGCTCTGGGAGGCACTTTCCAACTCGACTGGATAACAAGGTATTTATGGACAGGATTAATTAATTAGTCAATAATAACATGGAAATGATTCTGTGTATGGTAAAGGTGTTATGGATCCCAGATTAGAGGGTTAGCCATTTCCTACAAAAAATACACTTACTGTACTTAACATTCTCTGTAAGCTTGACAACACGAAATGGTGATTTGTCGGTGCCTGCCTAAACGGGTGGTTCTTAGTCGCTAAAACTAATCGGTTGTACGCACCTTCTTTTGCATTATGTTCTCCTTAGAAACACATCAGCTGATAAACATCGGAGCTGTGTGCTGGCTTATTTTTTACCCTTCTATACATGTCATACATACGCTGTTAACACTCTCCTCCCAACACCAGCTTCGTACTAATAGTGAAAAGAATGGATGGTCTTCTTTTAAAAAAGTCATATTTTTAAGCATTAATATGTTTATGTTTGCGTACTTAATAACAAAAGAAGTAGAGCAAGTGTAGCTACTGCTGCAGGAATTAAACCTGCAAGTGCAACACTCCACCAACTGCGCTTAACTAGCCTAGTTGATAGTGGCTGTTCCCAGGGCAGTACTTTCCTTCTTCAACAGGCCTAGACAGAATCTCTTCTAATCTGCTTTGTAATAGTGGGATAGCACAATGTTGCAGCTTGAGGGCACAGCAGTAGCAGAGATTATCAAAGATGGTACAGTACATGAAAGTATATGAAAGTATAGAAATGTGATGTTGAAATGTTTTATTTTTTTTGGTTTCATGTATTTATTACTATACTGTAGATTAAGTGTTACTTTTCACCATGAAACATTTGCAATTTAGAAATTCACCTAGTAAAATACTTTCTTATTGGAAGGAGGTTCAACTTAACATTGTGTAACCAGGTTTCATTATATTTTATTTATTTTCATATTTTATTTTCATCGTCCTTTGATCATAAATGTTCACCAATATTTCCGGTTCTTGCTGTAGACAAGATGTATCATTCACAAAAACACAGCATTTATACAACCCTTGGAATGACATGAAGCCAGTGAAGATAGGACGAGATGGCCAGGTAAACAGTTTCCTTTAACACCAACGACTTTCTTTCTTAATGAGGCTTGAGAAAACCTGTGAAGATTAAGATGGAATCAGTCACGCGCAATTGTCATTAGCACGTATATGTTTAAATGTGGCTCCAAGTAAGGTAACACCTTTGTGTCTGGAAGGTTCAGAAGTGTCATGCTTGAATAATTTGAGGTCATTCGGGATAGTACAGCATAAGGTTCACACACTCTGCACAAGAAAATGCACATCTCTCTATTACACTTGTTTTCATTTAATGTATTCTTCTCAAAAAATTAAAATTGACAATAAAGGAAACAGCAAAGAACAAGCACAAACAATATGAGACAGGACACCCCAAAAGTGAACTTGAGTGGGGGCCCTTCTCAAGAAACCACCAAATGCTTATGTTTATAAAAATATATAAACATTTAAAGTTAAAACATTTTAAAAATTCAATATTAAAATAGGCATATATTAAAAGTATTAAAATTTTAAGATGATTCAAAATTTACTTTAAAATTTAAAATTTCAAATGCTAAAATAAATATAAAATATATCAAAGCACTTAAGCAAGTTTATTCCTTCTAATGGTCTATATCTCCATAATCTTCACATTTTGCAATTCTCCATATCTATGCTACTAATACCCGTAATATTACAACAACTGCAGTACTGTAAGGATATGTCTTCAAGAATAAAGATTATTGGATTAAGTAAATGTAGCGCTTTTTGAAAGGTGTAGATAAAAAATATATACAGGCTCAATAATTATATGCGAGGTAGAGGTAGGACATTAAAGCATAAGTCACAGTGTCATTGTGCTGAATTGCGTATGGGCGTGGTCTGTGACCATGCACTTAGCCGGCATAAAGAGGCGCTTATAATAGCTACATCTTCACATCATTCCACAACAGGGATTAGTAATTTAGAATTTGGATAATACCCCACTCTTCCAAAAGATGTAATGGGTACTCTAAAGTGCAAATGAACCAAATGTGTATACTTGACCAAATCTTTTTCCGCGAAGACTTGGTTCTACCAACCGAACCATGATGAACGGCTCAAACCTGCGCTGATGTTAAGGATGTAGTTAGCAGTGCCGCTGCCTTACTACTTACCCATACCAATCCCACCATATGATTTAAGCTTGTAAAAGAGCCACTTCATTATAAGTGACCAATAGTGATCAACATTTTTTTAATTCTTTTTTGATAGGAAATTGAATCCCGTGTAGGTGAAGAGTTGTGCCGTTTGTTTCCAATGGATCCACACATTGACATTGTGGAAATTTTGCGCGAAGCACGCAGAAGACGTCGTGACCAAGATTCTCGTGGTAGTAGCCGTCCGTCACGTGACTCAATGAGGTTAGCCTACTTATATGGACTTTATGGACTATCTTCAAATGTTTGCGTATTGGGTGCCTAAGTAGGCTAGCCAATGGACTAATTGATTTGCAAGACTACTGTGTAGGGAGTCGATGACAAATCGCGAGAGTTTTTGTGGGATACACAGTGTTAGTGTACATACACTGCATTTAATCTTCGTCCTTCTTTTAATACCCCATTCTAAACACCTCGCCATTATATATTGTGACATAGGTTGCGGTAGGTATGGAAGGCTTATGTCTAAGAGCACTAAGGCTATTTAAAATAGATGTCTGGTGCAGAAAATGGATGCAAATTCAATCCTCTCTCATATTTCCCAGCATGCTGTACGGATTAGAACTGGTTTTTGTTTGTTTTTTTTTCTATCACTGCTTTTCTTTTCAATTTGGGATTTCTAGTGTACAGTAATTTGATTTTTTTTTTTAGTTGATACATTTCTGATCTCATTTATCTAATTGACTTATATATATATATATATATACCGTATATA